GTGTTACAGTATGGGAAATAAAAAGTCTGTTAGTTCAGTTTTTCCATGTCTGGCTTTTCAGGTTTGTGTTACAGTATGGGAAATAAAAAGTCGGTTAGTTCAGTTTTTCCATGTCTGGCTTGTCAGGTTTGTGTTACAGTATGGGAAAATAAAAGATCGGTTAGTTCAGCTCTTTCATGTCTGGCTTGGCGGGTTTGTGTTACGGTATGGGAAAATAAAAATTTGGTTAGTGCAATTATTTCATGTCTAGGGGCTGGTGGCTTGTTTTACAGCGTCGGTGCCACTCGACGCCAACCTATTCAAATTTTGCGAACAGGGGCAGGGGGGGGGGGGCTGCGCGAACGGTGGTTGTAATGGCCCCTGCTGCGTACCATATGTTTTACATGGTAGGCAGATTTTATTCGCTGACTCGATTGTTGGACCTACTGATCTCATAAAAAAATAGCGGACAAAAGTCACCTGTGTTGTCATCTAGACGAAACAGACCTACAACGGCGACGTAGACCGTCAAGAACGTGCAAGAGAAGCTGCGTGTGAGTGATTCCACTTTAGCAGCGGCCTGTCCAATGTCCAACCTTTCACATGGCATATCATGTGGAAGAGGTACACTTTTGTGCCCTAGCAAAGCAAGGTCTGTCGGTGCGGCGCTTGTCATGGAATGCAGGAGCACGTGGCTGATTTCTGTGAGAAGAATTAGATACAACATCCATCGAGAGGGCTGTCTACTGTCTACCCTTTGAAAACCGCTGACGTCGTACATACGTTTCGGCCATGGTGGGGATCTATCTCCTGCAGCGAGGGGCTGTCTACCCTTTGAAAACCGCCGACCTCGTACATAAGTTTCGGCCATGGTGGAGATCTATCTCCTGCATGAAGGGTACAATCTCATCAGCTCCTGTCTGTCGAGGACGATCGTTGTCGGATCAAAGGGAGGAATGACTCTGCACCTGTCACACCCGCAATAGATGCGGGAGGGAAACTGTGGACCCGACCGATCGGCCGATCAACAACAGTAGTAGTGTCCTATTCCTTGTATACTCTAGGTCGAAGGCCCCTCGGCTATACTGCTGTACCTTCCTCGCCCTCCCCGCCGCGGCTCTACCTCCCACCCGTTTTTGGTGGTGGTGGTGGTGGTAGTGGTAGAGGCTGATCGCCGTATGCACATGTCGTTCAAAGTCTCTGCAAGGGCATTTCCTCCTCTCTGCTCTGCCGTTTTGGCTGGCTCTGCCGATACATACGCGTACACGCACTACTTCTCTGTACATGTATTCAACACCCTCACCCCGCCCCCCCTTGCTGCGGGCCCCTTCGGCACTTCTTTGTATCTACAGGAGTCGAACTTTACGGAGCTGGAGAAAGCCTTTGCGGAAGCGAGGAGGAGAAGTCTTGCTCAGGCAGCCGAAGCCAAGAAACAGGCAGAAGAAGAGAAGAAGCGAAACCCGCCGCCGCCACCGGAAGGGGAGGGTGGTGCTGCCGATAAGAAGAAGCCGGTGGCGTCCAAGGGTGGCGCTGCGGCAACCCCTAAGGTAGGATGGAGCAAAACGAATGCGTCCGATTATGATAAACATGAACACCTTGGTTTGTGCCCCTAAGGTATACATGGGATCGAGACAATGCGCGGGGTTTGCATGCGGGAGCGTGGTTGCGCCGCGGGTTGTAAGGTAAATGACGGGCGGTACACGCATCACAGCGGTAGTACAGTAGCGGCGGTGGTGGTGGTTGCATGCTGCGGCGGTGCGTCAGAAGACTGCCGTCGGTAGGCGCCGGGTCCACAATACCGCACCGTACCGCACCTACGTTCACGGTTTCTCCATTGCCCGGCCGTTTGGGCGACACGGAAGAACGATAAATACGAGTCGAGTCGATATCATCACATCATATTTTCCCGAAGAATAGATAGAGGTTTTGACAACGATTTTATGTTGTGTTTCGCATGGAGAAGGCACCAATCCTTCTTGCGACGGTGTCGTGGGCGAAGCAGTCCGTCTGGCGTGATGGGGAAGGACCTGTTTTTCCTTGTTCTCAGAACATTTTTTTTAACCACGTTGACCCTCTCCTACCTTTCCTCTTGAATCCAGGCGAAGCCTGCCGCCGCTAAGCCTAAGCCCGCCACCATCGCGCCCGGCAAGACCGAGGGCGCCAAGATGCGCACTACCGCCGGGAAAAAGAAGCCGCCAGTGATGGTAAAGGTGCGCATTCTGTGGCGATTGATTTGCGTGTGTGTGTTTTTTTTTTCTTTCTTTTTTCCCGTAGTTCGTTCGTTGCGTTGCCGGCGGTGGTTGCTTGTGCGTACGTTTTTTTGCCGTCATTGGGTTGCTGGTGGTGGTGGGGGTGCTGCTCTGCTTGTGCGTAGAAACGGTAGCTGTTGTGGTTGCTATTGGCCCGATGGTTGTTGACCGGAGTGCTGTATCGTGCCGTGTGTGTATTATTCTCGCCTGCTGTCTTGGTTGCGGCGGAGAGGAAAATTGTGGCCCCATCTACGACTCTTGGCCGCCGTTGTTGCGTGTGTCCCGCGTTACCAAGCATCATGACCCCCGATGGTTTTTGTATTGTGCGGCGTTTTCATTGCGGCGGCGGCGGCGGCAGGGTACCCCGCCCAAGGAGGCCGAGGTGATCAAGATCAAGTCCACGCCCAAGGCTCTCCGGGAGGAGGTTGAGGTAATAGGAAGGGATTGGAGGGGAGGGGTTAGAGGCATTCCCGGCTGCGTGTTGCTTGTTCAGGTCGACGATTTTTGTTGTTTCGGTTTGTGTAGGTTCAGTCTAATGGGGTCGGTGTCGGTGTCGGCATTGGTATTGGAAATGTCGCCGCTGCTCTCGTTGTCTTTTACCACGTCTAGGCTGACCCGACTCCATTTCCTGGGTCCTCCCGTTCCGTCCGCTGTTTGGAAATATCGTACCACGAACACGTGGTCGACGTCTGAAGGCGGACAAGGGCAAGGCGGACAAGGGCAAGGCGGACAAGGGCAAGGTCGCGAAGAAGAAGGCGCCTGTCGCGAAGAAACCGGCTGCTGCTGCTAAGCCCAAGAAGGCGGCGACCCCTGCCGCGGCGAAGGGAGGGGCGTTCAGCCTTGGAGCCGAATCGCTGGAAGAGTTCTTCGGTCTGACCAAGAAGCCGCGCCTGGTGAGAGATAAATATGACCACACCTACACATGTTTAATTCGCGTGCCCCCCGTCCAGGGCAGGGGTATCTTTTTTCCGGTTGGGTCGGCCGGTACTGGTGAAAAAAACACCCGAGAGAGTCTTCATGTGTGTAGTGAAAATTGTTCGTTGTGAGCCCCCAAATCCTCCCCCCTCCCGCCTCCCCCGATTGGTGATAGTATTGTATGATGGCTGTGGGGTTCGCTTTCATGTGAAACGCTGCTGCTGAGGTCGTCCCCCTTCCCCCCCTATTTTCTCTGAATTATAGTGATGCCAACGGTTATCAGTATTGCTGTAATGGTTTGAGTAGGAAATATGGGTAAGGTAACCGTTAAGTACAATCCAACTGGTGACTTCATTTTATTAAACGGACTCTGACAAAGGGAGGTGGCGATTTCTCTCCCGTTCCTAGGAGTGCAACTCGCACACATTGACAAGCTACAAAGATAGCTTTCGACCTTTGAGCGTGGCTGTGGCGGATGCACGTTACGTGGTTGGTGCACATCGCGTTGTTGATGTGGTAAAATTCACCCTGTAGAGTGTTGGGCGACACACCGCGTCACGACAAAGGCAGGCTTGTTTGTGCCATCGTCTCAACTTACGTTTGAAGCGTGTCTTTTTGGCAGCACTCCTGGCATCACGCAAGGGCTTCCCTTTCGAACTGATGCGCAAGGACGTGCCTTGGAGTCACCAACATACAGCAGTCAACGTTGTGAAGCACCTACAACCTACAATTGGGAGTCGTGGACTTGCGATCGAGTCAGTTGTAAGCCTTTCAGCCTTACTCTGTTTCGACGTCCCTATTTTGCGTCGTTGATTCTTTGTTACAATTGCTTGTGGTGGTGAAAGGTCTCGACGACCACGCCGCCGTCCGATGAGCCCCAGCCGGCTCCGATGGCCGAGCTCGACCCCACCGCTGTCGAGGCCATGATCACGGACAACGGTCTCAACGAGGTTACTCTCAAGGTATGCACGCCTGCATGTAGTGTACACCATGACCCCCGGCGCGCTTTGCAGGGAGTGACTCAGCTTGTGTCGAACTACGCTGTCTGTGGGGACTCGAGACCACAGAATTGGCAGTTTATGACAATTTTAGTTTGCCGGAAAAACAACAAACCAGACGTGTCGCGGTCGTGAGCGAGAGTGCTCCGCACGCTCATCAGAATGCTGGCACTTTTTTCAAGCGTACACGGAGCTCTCCCTCACGCTACAGTATGCACCACGACACTCGTCCGTCGCTAACCGGCCTCCCCACTTGACGACCATTTTTGTCGCCAGGAGAACTTCCGCAAGATGGAAGCCGAAGCTAAGGCCGCCCAGGCAAGCGCCTCCGCTCCCGCGAAAGCGCCTCCCTCCAAGAAGGGCGCCAAGGCCGCCGCCGCCGCCGCCGCCGCCGCCGCCGCCGCCGGCGACGCCAACGTCTCCGCGGAGGAGGCTAAGAAGATAGCCGCCGCGGCGGCTAAGGATGCGGTCGCCCTGTCACCGAACCCGATCGTGGACCTGCTGTCCTCTGCGTTCAACTTCGACAAGTTCGACCCTGAGGATAGGCCGGGACCACCGATGGCCGGTAGAAAGGCGGAAGAGCTCAGGGCCGCTGCTCTGGACGCCGTGAAGGAAGAGATGAAGGAGACGACATCGCCGAAGGCTGCTGCTCCTAAGGCTGCCGCTCCCAAGGCTGCCGCTCCCAAGGCTGCCGCTCCCAAGGCTGCCGCTCCCAAGGCTGCCGCTCCCAAGGCTGCCTCTCAGGCGAAGGCGCCCACAACGGCGAAGCCGGAGGGCGGTCTTGGAGGCCTCCTGGGCGGCATGTTCGGCACGGACCAGCAAGGCTCTGACAAGACGGCCGCGGCACCGAGGCCCAAGGCCGTAGCCCCGCCCAAGGCCAAGGCCGCCGCTCCCAAGGCAGTCGCTGAGGAGGAGGAGGGGGAGAAGGAGGGAGGTCTCGCGGGCGTGCTGAGCGGGATGTTCGGCGCCCCCGTGTACGACGACGAGGTGGACACCATCCCCAAGAAGACCCCCGCCGCCCCTCGCGCGATGCCGGTGTTCGCCCCGCCCCCGGCGCCGGCCAAGGCTCCGGCGCCCGCGCCGCCCAGCAAGAAGAAGGACGCCGCCGCACCGTCTTCGTTCCTCGACGGTCTCTTCGGGGGCGGCGGCGAGAAGAAGACCTCGTCGCCACCGCCCAAGGCTAAGGTTGCGCCGCCGCCGACCCCGCCGGCTCCGTCTCCGGCCGCCAAGAAGCAGGCCCCGGCTGCGGCCTCCTCGATGTTCGACGGGCTCTTCGGCAGCGGTGGCGGCGGCGGCAGCAAGTCTCCTGCTGCGAAGGCGCCAGCTGCGGCCAAGAAGGCGGCGCCGGCTCCTGCGCCGGCCGCCAAGCCAAAGGCAAAGGCGGCGCCGGCTCCTTCGATGTTCGGAGGCATGCTGGGCGGCGGCGGTAAGAAGGCCGAAGCCAAGGCCGCCGCCCCGGCGCCCGCCCCCGCGCCGGCTCCGGCGCCGAAGCCGGCTCCGGCGTTCAAGATGTTCGGCATGGGGGGAGGAGCGCCGGCGGAAGCGAAAAAGGCAGCGCCTGTACCCAAGGCCAAGTCTCCCGCCGCCAAAAAGGCCGCCGCCCCGAAGCCGGCACCAGCGAAGAAGGCTCCCGCTTCTTCGGGAGGAGGCATGTTCGACTTCTTGGGCGGGGGAGTGGCGACCAAGAAGAAGGTCGCGCCGCCGGCCCCGGCGCCCGCGCCCGCGCCGGCGAAGGCAAGCAGCAAGTCGTTCTCTGGCCTGTTCGGCGGCGGCGGTGTTTCGGGGACCAGCGCGAAGAAGAAGCCGAAGCGGCAGCCGGCGCCTGCGCCCCCTCCGGCACCCACGCCGATCGTGTCCCGAGTGAAGACGATGGATGACTCGTTCCTCAAGAAGGTTTCGGTGATGCTGAGGCGTAACCAGGTGGGACGCATGGGCGGCGATCTCGAGTGGAAATGAGTTGAAAAGTGGTGTACTTTCATGCATGCCAAGATGATGGCGTCATTTTTTTGTTGTTGTTCTTGTGTTGTCGTGCGCCGGAGCACAGTGGCCCGGGGCAAGTAAATGACCTGTTTTTTGCTTGGCGTCGATCCACCCCTGCAGCTTGTCTGCCTGCCTGCCTGCCTGCCTGCCTATGTGAGGCTAACGACGTTGTTAAGGTCGTTCTTTCATGAGCTGTGTGTGCCTTCGCTGCTCCTTGGTTGCTCAATATTTCTTCCCAACACATACCTGCTGCCCTCCCGCTTGTATGGTGTCTTGTATGGTGTTTACCTCTGACTTGCTTGACGTCTGTTTTTTGCGTTGTCGCGTTGTGCTCACCACCGTTGTGGACACACGACCCTGCAAATCGCAATCATCCACGGGACGAACCAGAGCAAGATCAAGAAATTCCAGCAGCTGACGGACCGCTTCAGGGGGGGGCTGATCAAGGCGCCCGTATACTACGCTGGGGTGGAGGAGCTTTTCGGAGAAGACAACGTCGAGGTGAACCACATAATAGCAACCCACATTGCGAAAGAGCAGAGCAGAGATCTGTGTGGAGCAAGGCAGCAAGCACCACCAAAGCTATGATATCGTCAAGCGTCATATGCCCACGATCTGTGTTGGAAGTTGGAGAGGGCTGGCTCCGATGAACCAGCCCATGCATACTTAAGAAGCTGCCGATGACAGCCGAAGAAATACCAGTATAATATTTAGTATGCATTACTTCTTTCCCTGCCACCTTTTGATTTTACATCTAGTGGGCACAGCTGCTGTAACCGCGCTTTCTTCCTCCCAGGACCCCTCTCTTCGAGACAACATAAAAAAACATGCAAGAAACCTCCCCGTTCATGGAGATAATATTTCCCCGTACGAAGCGACATGTTGGAAGCAGCCTTCACATCGAGCCTATAGAACCCTACATCTTGCTTAACCTGTACACCCCCACCCCCCCGTCCTCTCGAGGACGCGTAGTCAATGGTCTAACCCGCTAAGGCATGCAAAACATAACAGTACGCCCCCCCCCCGATCAACACCGTCTCCAGGAAATCATCGGCCCCCTCCTGGCAGCGCTCCCCGAAAACGACAAGCGAAAAACCCTCCAGGCCGTCTACTCCAAGGCGCAGAGGGCGAAGAACGGGGAGGGCGAGTCGGACGGGGGAGGCATTGCTTCCCTCTTCGGCGGCTGGGGGGGCAAGTCGAAGGCGGACACCGCTGCTAAGCCCGCGGCGGCGCCGGCGCCGGCGAAGAAGGGCGGCATGAAGAAGCCGGCGGCGGGAGGGAAGAAGGCGGGAGCGGCGGCGGCGGATCCGTACGCGTTTGCCGCGGCGAAGATCTCCGGCAAGGACTACGAACTGTTCAAGACGCGCACAACGTTGTATGCCAGGGGGGGAATCAACGCTAGGCAAGTTTAGCCGGGGGGCTGGGGTTGCAGTTGTGTGACCGCTGCTGTACTGCGCACAGCGTTGTATGCCAGGGGGAGAATCGACGCTAGGTATGCCTAGCCGGGGGGGTGGGGTTTGGCCGGTTGCTGTGCTGTTGTCTTGGCTTCGTTGTTGTGCTAGCGTATGTGTGTCTTGATGTGTGGGATTTCGTTTTTCTGGAGGCTTTGCGTTCTGCATCGTGCTCACGTCTGTGCAGCACCGACGGGATCATTTCTCCTGTCTTTCATGCAACGCGTTCACCTCCAACTCTTACATGCTCGGCCTCGGAGAACGATTGACTCCCTTGCATGCGGCTTCGTGCTGCACCTTTGAACGCGAATGGCCTTGAGGCTCCTACGCTCTGCCGCTTCTTGCATGCATGCCGCTTGCCCCCACCCTGATATGTTCGTCTCGCGCCTGGTGCTATTATAGTACAATAGCGTTGACGACGAATGGTCTACTTCGGTAGCAAACGAAATGATACCATTGTCAACCACAGATTGTGTCTGGACATCTCTAATATTCGCGTAAGTTCGGTCGCGAAATGTCAAAGCCAGCGTCCATTCTGGAAAAAATAAGCAGCATTAAGTTCTGTTTTCTTGCTCTTGAACCTTCGTTTCCGATGTCTGTCTCCTTCCTCCTGGTCAATGGTGCCTTCACGACCCCACTAACTACCGCCGCAGGAACTACTACGACACGTTAGCCACGGTCTTCGGCGCCAAGGGGGTTTCCGCGCAGCTCCCGGCGTTACTCAAGGCGTTGCCGCAGAACAAGCGCAAGCTGCTTCAGGACGTCGTTGACGGGCTTTCGAAGTAGGGTGGGTCCGTCCCTTCCGGGCAGTCGCTCACCCGCAGTCTCTTTGACACTGAATACCAAGCATAGCACATAGATCTTTTGTGGTGGTTTGGTCCTCGCATGTTTGATTGGCGGGGCGGGGGGGGGGGAGGGGCAGGGGTTTGAACAATGACCGGGCTATCACGGTAGAATTTGCTGGTCGATTTTCCAAGTTGTTGCTGTCTTGTGCCGATGACAACGAGGGTGATGAGGCACCGATTTGATGTCTGCCTGTCTCTCGGTCAGTCGCTGCTCCTATTTAGTAGCTCTAATAGCTCCCTCCCATAGAAGCTATATTAGTTATTACACTTGTGGTTCCTTCTCAAGGGTTAGGGTTAGAAGGTGATACAATGCACGCCTGGGCCCGTTTGTCTGGGCAGCGATAGTTTAGAACGGTAGCAAACTTGGGGTCTCGGGATTGAATGCCGCGGTGGCGAAGGCATCTATCGAAGGGATTGATACTTTATCGATGGTTTGGTGACTCGTGCGGTCTGCCGTGAGTGAATTAGAGGTGCGATGCCTCGAGCTCCTGAGGCCTTCGGCACTCGCTGCTTGGTGTGGTATGTAGGGCACGTTGTGTGGGATGAAGATGTTGTCGTCATCAACACGGAACACGTTTCTACATAGTACTTACATGCCTTTCTGGGATATACTGCCGTAAGTGGAACATGTGGCTAAAAGTGCACCCACACACGCGGCGCGTGCATTCATATGCCATGTGTTGAGATCGAAGCAGAAAATACGACGCACGGAGTCGTCTGCCGCTCGTGGCTCCCTCAGCCCGTATCAATTCCTCGCAAACCAAAGCGCACGCTCGTGTTCATCTCCGCTCTGTACAACAGCCGAGGACAACCCGGTGCTGTTTTCGGCCACAGAATACAATTCTCTCGGCGTTTCTGAATTTAAGCACGCGCTGGATTGATTCTATGCTATGTACCACAGTTGTCTGGCACTTGTGTTGGATACTGCTTTTCGCCTCGTACGGTGTTGGCTGTGGACCAAACCGTACGTCAAATGCCAAAGGGGAAACGCAATTTCATATTTTTAGTTTTTCGTCTTACATGAATATACAAACACAAGAGCCTCCATGGGAAACCCAGATCTCGCCACCCTTTGGTTTGCTCAAGTGCATACATCGGAAGTCCAAACACTCTGCAGACGTTTCAAAACCAAGGTTACGCACTGCGTACACAAACGAACACAGAGGGAAGCGGGAGACATAACAATCGCAATGGCCGACTCCCGACTTGAACTACTAACTGCTGTCGTCTTTCGCTCACACTGAAGCCAGCCGCGGATTCCAAACAAGTCTGAACCTTGATTTTCCTTGAGTGAGTGCGGTGAACGATCGTATCGCGATTCACCTATTAGCGTCTGAGTATCCCTGCCCTCAGGCGTACCCCCCCTCCCTCCCCCCCCCCCAATTCTCAATCTATCCACCGAGAACACCTAAAACCACACATTACTAGTCAAACACGTCCCCCAACAGCTTGCAAGAGATGCACGAACTATGAGATGCACGAACTACTATAGTGTAGTCCAAGATCCCCTTTCATTGCCGCTCGCTAAAAAGGTGTTAGAACGAGTACATGCCACCACCCTGCGTGTTGGTACCCTTGGGACGCAAGAGCTTCTCCATGTTCTTCTCGATCATGTCCGCGGCGAGGACCAAAGAATCCCTGGCTCTCAGCAGGGTGTGGTGCAGGGAAACGAACCACTTCACGTCGAGGGCGATGAGGTGGTTGGCCGAGTCAGGCGCGAAGGAAGATTCGGAAGTCTTTTCTTCGGTGCTGGTGGACTCGGAGGTCTTGGAAGAGTCCCCGTCCTAGAGGGAGAAACAATACAGCAGTAGGCGTAATATTCATGGCTTGAAGAGGGAGATAATGTTCATCGCATGAAGAGGGAGAGAAAGATGGGAGGCGTGAAACAAGTCGAAACCAAAACTGTCTGGCCTTGATGGGATGTGATGTCCACGCCAAGTCTGTTTCATGCACACAAAGTATCGCGAGGTACAACGTACAGGAGAGTCACAATGTTTCTTTCGTCACGTGTATCGGTAGATAAAGAATCGGTCGAGCATGAACGGGGGACCAAGAAAACAAACATATCATACGAAATACGAAATACCACGTTGGTTTCCGGTCTCAATCACAAACCACCCCGCGTTTAGTGAACGGAAACGCACGCAATACGGACAACAGCAGTCTTACTCAAATTTCGTCACACACACACACGTGTACCTTTTTTGGGTATGTTAGCCTGTGAACGCGGGAATCGACCGCGTCAAGTGTTTGATTAGTACGGACAGAAGAAGGTACTGGGTGGAGAGAACGGAACGTTTTTCTATGTGAAGAACCAACAAGCAACAACAACAACAACAAGAACAACAACAACAACACGCGCCTTTCCCCCGGTGTCCTTGGATGCAGACGATGAGGTCTTGCTCTCCTTGGACTTCTTGTTCCCGATCTTGTCCCACGCCGAAGCCCGGCTCTCGAAGTAGCCCGGCATCTCTCCGAGGCTGCTCGCCACGGGAGTCGTGAGCTCGTCGATCCCCTTCGTGATTAGGGAACGTTAACAAGCGAACGCGTTTAGGAATGAACGGCAGTTAGACCTCGAGAGCACGACTTTTTTAGGCCAAGAACGTGTTCATGGTCGTGAGCCCAACAGACTAGATCAAGTGAAAATAACCAATCAACGCCCCCGGAACTAGTCGCCTACGTCACGAATATGTGCGAAACACGCCTACATTTGTCAGCAACACCACGGTGTACGAAGCGCACGACACGCAACGCACACAGCCACCGGACCCTAGCGAAGGATCGTGTGCACTACGCTGGCGGATCGGGAGCACTAGTATAGCCCACCGGTTGGAGCAGCAGCGAATACATTTGTGCTGCTCACAGCAGCACCAGAGAGTCGGAACGTAACAAACAAAGCATATGAGAGCGGAGGAAAATTAGACCAAAAAAAAATTGAGTCAACAAAGGCCGGTCTTGGGCGTTGTTTCTGTCCGTCCTGCCGCCTCCCACAAGCTGCAACAGGCGATCCTGAGCACATGCGCCACCAGCCCTGATCGCATTGATTCTCGGAAGCTCTCAACTTTTCTCGCCCTCGATGAATTGGTCTTAAAAACACACGCGAGCGTATTTTCGAAAAAGCTTGATATATATATATTGCCCGAACGTGCCCGGAAATTGTAATTTTTGTCTTGCAGTTTGTGTAGAAGATCGCAATTGGGCTCTGGTTTCCTGATACAGTACGATGGTTGGTACCGCATAACATATCAAAAGTTCCAATATTTTCCCTGCAGACTGGTGTAAGATGCAGGTTTGTACGCACGTACGCACGTTCCCCTATCCGTCAAATGTGACAGTCCCGCCTGCCGCTCGCGCGACCACATCACACCGAGGCGCACGCGAGACCACATCATACATCACAACCATCACACGCCATGCCACGGGACCACATAATTGTTAATGTCTTCACATGAAAAACCGTTCCGTTCTCATGATAATTCTCACAAATAGTTCCGAAAATACCATATTGCGACCTCACACGGGCGTCCACGAGACCGCATACTAAACATTTCTCCACACAGTCCCGCCGCTCGAGAGCATACAAGTTCGGCAGTGGTCCGAGACGTTGGGAGACACCCGGTAGGTTCGAACGCGTGGCCACCCTCGTGCCATAAGTGGGAAGATGGACCCAAAACACAAATAATTCAATCAATAGAAATACAAACACCCCATACATAATTGTCTGTTTTTCCTCCTGGTACCAGCTTCACGTCGGGGGAGACTTTCGCCACTTGCCAGTCGGGGTCTTGCGCCGGAGGTGGCACCATCCTGAAGTTCACTCCGAGTGCTTCACTTGCCACGGAACCATCCCGGCTGGCACTGTGTGTCTGTCTCCTTGACCGTTGAACTACACTATGTACACACCGC